AGTCAAAAAAAAGTTGGCACGCCACTGCTTCATTCGAATGAAATTCAATGTGTTTTACACTTATTTTGTTGTAACATCAAAAGAAATAATGGTGAAGTAATTTCTTTGAAACTTTCATTAAATCAAATGACTACATTTCAATCGCCGTATTGTAGGATTGCACAGTTTTTTTTATGGGGGGGGGGGTGGAGGGGCCACTTCTGCAGAAGGTAGATTAGCGAAGGGTCGCATTCACATTTAGTCATGTTAGCCGAAAATATAATTTTTATACATACATTTAAGCACTAAATGTTTTTATCAGCAAACTTGCTAACATATTTAGAGAAAATTAAACACTGAAATATTTAAACATAAAAAATACTTATATTTGTAAGTTTTTGCTTTCATTTTTCACAATAATTAATTTATCAAATATATATATGAATATTGGGAGGGGGATATGCATTCTAACCAAAAAGAAACTTACAGAATGAAAGTGCAAAAAATATACGCATTTTATAGAGTAAATTTGAATCAAATATTCTAATGAAGGAAAATTTATGTTGAAACTAAAACCAAATTAAAAGAAATTTTTTATTGCGTTCAGAAGTTCCCGCGGTCCGTATATCAACACTCGACGGGCCGCATGTGGCCCGCGAGTCATAGGTTTGAGCACCCCTTCTATATTGGAATGACAGTGCGAATAGGCAAAATAACATTGCGTCAATGGAATATGAAACAGGACTATAATGAAGCGGTCGCTATAATGGGGATCGTAATAATGAGCTTAGACTGTAATATTTTTTAAACATTTTATTTCCTTTTCAAACGGCCTATGTAGGGGTTAAGGAACTGCCCTTGCATCAGAAAGGTTCTGGGTTCGAATCCCGGGCAACGTATGGATGTTCTTTCCTTCTCTGTACTATCTGTCCTTACTGTGGGAGCAGCGTTGGTCCACCTAATATGGTACCCCTGAAAGAGAGGCCAACAAAACGGCTGTAACTGTAAACTGTAATGTAAACTGTAAACTGTAAACCAACAAGTGTGAATTCCTGAAATGACGAAAAAATGTTAGCACAGATGGCATTGGAAAAAGAAAAAAAAAATTCAAATTTTTTTTAATTAAAATTGGAATAAATGTTTAATTGCACTAAACTTGGGCTCAATGATCTGAATAGCATTAGGCGTTTAATTGAAATAATTTTTAAAGAGAATTATTTAATTTTTAAAGAGAATAACAAATTACCACTTTGTTGTTAATTAAGTAATAATGTTAATTTTGTCTTTAGAAAATGTTTTACTAATTATTTCTAACACTGAATCTAATTGAGATAGGTAAGATATAGCTGAAAAAACTGTTGCGTAAATAAAATAAAAATATCTACATTCTCTTCTCTAGGATGAAAACCGATTATAGTTTGTGACGCTTACATTCTTTTTTTTTTGGGGGGGGGGGATATTAGCAGAGATCCATTTTTTATCAATGAGTAAAAAAAAAAAACTGAGAGAAAAATAAAATTTTCTCAATTCTCTCGGTTTTTAAGACAGGAGTGATTGTGAGCCCAACTCAAAAATCCTGAAAATTTTTTGAGTAAAATCATTAGTGACGCATTTCAAAAAATAACGTCTTTATAAATTTAAGTCATTGATATTTTTGAAATTCTAAATAAAATTATATGCATCATAATTTAAATGAATTATTATGTACAAATAAGTTTACTTTTAAATCTAATCACATTTATTATTCTACCAGATAAAATGAAAGAGATGCCAAGTATAAATTCTAGTCTAATATTTTTAAATAAAATATGCAAGAATTTTTATACATAAATATAATCGATGATTTCTTGAAACTTCTGGACCTTGGATTTCCGGAAACCTCCAGATCACGGTTGGACAAAAATCCGGAGCTGATTTTTTCAGCAGCAATATCATCTGTGTTAAGAGAAAAATTCGCTGTTTTTCAATGCTTTTTTTTAAATTCCCTGTATTTTCCGGAGCCATGACAACCCCCTATTTAATTCTGTAAGACAGAGGAACGATTTCTGATCAAAAAGTTCTTTAAAAAAAATAATAAATAAATTTCTATCTCTGTAATTTGACATTACAATTTAAATCTTTATGGATGACCATTATAATTTTTCTTAGCATTTATTACATTTCGATTCGATTAACCTCATTAGAATACAGAGAATTGAATTTTGGTGTTAAATAATAGATTGTAATTAACAGTTAAGATTATTTTTTACTTGTTTTTTTTTCCACTGTGCAATATCAGTTTTTTTCTCTGCATTCATTCTAATAGTTTTTTTTTTAACGAACTTTTCTTTGAGGTCAACTTTCCCAAAATATTTCAGAACATTTCAAACTTGTTAACGCATTTTATGGAAATGACTTTGAATTGATTTTCGAAGCCACTTAACTTCTAGAACAGTGGTTACCAACTGGCGGCCCGCGAGCCACATCCGGCCCGTCAAGCCTTTTCTGTGGCCCGCTCACTAAAATATATTAGTTGTCATTCTTTGCGGACAATTTTCGTAAAAAAAAATCTATATGGGTTTAAAGTACTTTTCTTTGTTAAAAAAAAAAAACCTAATTTCGTAGTTTCTCTGAAACTTAACATACCAACAGTGCAAAATATTTATTTCTCAGGTAAAAATCTACTTCTTATTTTAATTTGTAATTCAATACTTTTGCTTTGTACAACTTGATAAAAATCTGACGGTAATATTTAATGTTCCTTCTAACTTAAAAGAGTCCTATATAAAACTTTGATAAAGTTGCGGCCCGCCAATTGACTGGTGTTTTTAATTGCGGCTTCCGGATTCATGTAAGTTGGAAACCCCTGTTCTAGAGAAAATAGTAAAATTCCTTACCTTTTTTGTTTGAATTTCAAACGAAAACACAAAATTAACGGATGTTATCAGTAGCAATTTAACTTAAGAACACATGTGATAATGTATGTTTAAAATTACTTTTGTAATAAATGCAGCGATAATTTTATGCATAAGGTTAGCTTTTTTTTAGTTGAAAATGTATGTAGCTTGATAGTGTAACGCTGGATAACGTTTTGCTCTATCCTAGCTTTCCATGCAGATTTCTTTTATGGTTAAGATTTATAAAATAAATAGCAGATATTAGTTTACAAGATAGAGGTATATCAATTGCTATTTTAATTGTGTCTAGTGTTTATGAATTTAAAACCTGTTTTGTGTTTTAAAAGGTGATTTTCTATTTAACGAATATTCCATATAACGAACATATTATCGGGATTTAATGGTTTCGTTAAATAGAGGTCCAATTGTGTATATATATATAATCTTAACGAAACTTTATTTGTTCCAAATCAAGTTATTTAACTCTATTAATCACGTATCGGTACAAGAGTCGGTCGCAGGTGGGTATCCGCCTTCATTCAATAAAAAAACATCTTTACAACCTTTAAAGAATACGGGTCTTGTTCGATGAGACGGCACTTCTTGTCCCATAATAGATTGAACATAAAACCCATTATTGAAATCGTGTTCGATATCGAGCTGTTTAAAAGAGAGAGAGACGACAACTGCCTGTTGAGCGCATGCTCCGTTAAAAACGTCACAGAAAACGATGATTTTACGGGATTCGTTACTATTTTTAGATTCTCTCCGAAATCGTCTGCGCTTACCAGTGTCAGTAGGTATTTTGTCTTTCCCCACAACACACGCGCGGGGATGTAGTTCGTTCCGATAAAACAACGTGTTCGTTCCATCGTTGGTTTTGGTTTTTATTTTATTCGCCTTTTATCTCGAGAAGAAAAAGAAGCAAGAAAAAAAATGATTTACTTCCTGGAAAATTCATCGATCATTTACTTCGAAGATCGGAACACACGTGAGGGATTCTTTGTGAAACGATTCCATGGTGGAGAAAACGATTTTGATTTTTCATTCTAAAAGATTTCGTTTGGTTTTTTTCTGCCTTGCTTCGATGCGGAGGAGAAATTTTTAATCAAGAGTTATTTTCTTCGGAATTCTTTTTTTAATTAATCGCTCCAATTGATGAGGCGTATTTGACAGGATTATGACAACCCTTTTAATTGGTGCTTTTACAATAGTTTGAGCTTCCTTGATACAACGTTTTACATATTTCATCACCACTAGTCTTCACCGCGTGTGATTCAAATTTTTGTAATTTGATATTTATTTTTAATAGCACACGAACTAGCACTAGAATTTATAAAACGGGACCAATTGTAGCTTTGAGCTCGTGATTTGTTTTATAGTTAATAACAACGAGAAACAACGTGCACACTATTTTATAACAGATCATAGAACTTGCATTTATTCTATTTTTAAGTTAAAAGAATATATCAGTGACACAAGTGTTCCTTTTTTTGTCTCACTGTTTAATGATATTCTGTGGAATTTTTACCGAAGAAAAAGGTCAAAAGTCAAGCTGGAGGCGATCGCTGGATACAGTGGCGACAATAACAATACTTCTCTGACAAAAATGACCGCTAAAAAACCCAAAAGGAAAAGTGCCATAGAGGCAAGGCGAAGATCCGGCAGTACATCGCATTCCATTAGTCGAATACAGCTGTCCCTCCTAAATAGTGGTCTGCTGCCCATGAATGAGGATGAAAAACTCATGTCGCTCATTCCTAAAAATCCTATAGAACTTTCGGCTTATTCGAAACATGTTAACCTGCTCAGAAAATATGAAGTGCTTGCCAAGATCGAATATCAGGTAAGTTCTTTACCAGTCAATTAAGTTATGTACCGCCCCTGGCCAAATTATTAGACGCACTATAAGATTCTATGTAAAATCTTAATTATAATCTTAATTATCTTAATTAAATGATAATTAAGATTTTACATAGAATCATATAGCGCGTCTAATAATTTGGCCAGGGAATGTATGCTGATAATCCTCGTATGGTGCCGTCGAAGTTTCGGGAATCTTGGTATAAAAACATAGATAAAATACTCTCCAAAGTTGGTGATTATTTGTCTAACTTTGATGATTTAACTATAGTTATATCGTCCAATGATTATTGGCGGGTATGGGAAAATACAGTGATAAACCATACAAGTATTGGTGTTTGCTTCAATACAAGTGTCTCATATCCTGAAGCAAATATAGTATCTCAGAAAATCTCTGTTATTCCATACACTTGAGAAAAAAATCTATTTTAATTCCTTTACATTTTTATAGTTTGCACTATCTTGAGTAAAATTTAATCTAGAATCCGATTGCAAAGGTCTTACATTGGAAACTTTATCATTTTGAGTAAACAAACACCAATACTTAGTGTTGCAATTCGATGTTAGAAATTACAGTTGTATTTTACTCCAAAACGCAATTTCTATATCCTACAAACCTTAATTATTTTACATAATTTTCGATCAGTTTAGTTAGTATCATTGAACTCCTACTAGTTAAATCATTCTTTTTGCTGTGGTTTTATCTATTTATTATTTTATTTTTTGCCTTTTCATTCAAAGAATGTTCTAAAATAAGAATCGTCGCAAGACTTAGCGGTACTCTGGGAAAAACATTTCGCAAGACCTTTTCTCTTTCTGCGAGGCGCACTGTTCATAATTTCGCCTAAATATTTCAAATGCATTTTTTTTTTTAAAAAATGAATTCTTGCTAAGAACGTCACTTTAAATTTTTTCTGTGATTAATATTTCTCATTCATTATTTTACTTATTTATTAATAGATTCATACCATTGTTTAAATTTCATCGATGATTTTTCGAGTTCGAGACAATAAAAACTAGAAGTGTGGAACTTTATTTCTAAGAATACAAATTAATTTTTCTTTTATATATAATCGTTTTGTTATTAATCATTTTAAACTAGGTTTTATGTCCGGCAGTTAAAGTCACAGTTCTGGTTCTGAATCTAGTCTAGTTATGAATTTGTTTTTGATACATATGATTAAGATGAAAATGAATAAAATAATCCAAACTATGGTTCTCTTTTGAATGAAATTATCAAAGAACAGCCATGAAAGTTGAAAATGATTATTAGGGAAGCATATTTCTTGATTAAAGAATTCAATTATTTTATTTTGATTTGAAAAAAAAACACGAGGGGAAATAATAATGCAATTCTTTATAAATGCATGTCCTTTAAATAATTTATTCAATGTATTGTTGTTCGAAAAATTATACGTAAAAAAATTACTTTGTTCAGAAGAAACCTGGAAATTAGCTTAATAAAGTATTATTGATTGAATCTAAATATAAATAAAGGTTTCAAAAATCAATACTAATTAAAAAGAAATATCCTAGAATCTCTTTAATTCTTCCACGGAACCCTAATGTTCCGTGGAACACCATTTGGGAATCAATGTACTTGAGATTTATGTCCTTTCTTCGCTGATCAACCCCCACAATTACTTAGAAATCACCGTTATTGCAAACTGTTGAAATGTTTTAATTTTTTTTTCGCCGAAGAGATTATTTAGCAATGTTTCGGAAATTAATTCGTAATTCGTAATTAATTAATTCGTAAAATTTATTTTCAATTTTAAATATTTCAAAAAAATTATTTTAATTATGTGTGTTATATGATAGTAATTATAAAAAATAAATATGTCTTGCTTTACATTTAATTACTGTGAAACAGTAGCTAATAAATAAAAATATTTAATGTTACGTAAGAACCTTAAAACGAACCATAAGATTACTTTTTAAAATAATAAAGGAATTATATGTTTAACTTTAAAGCCTTTAATTTGAAAATAATTATCAACAACGTAATAATTCCTGAAAATGATATTAAGAAAATATGATAAATAAATATTATAGGTAAATACTGTTAAATAAGTGGTAAACAAATAATGTAAAGGAAAATACATTCATATTCTTTATTAATTTTACGCAATTACAGTGAAATATATCTGGATCTTCTATTTACAACAACATCATGTGATTTTTCTGTTTCGTGAAAATCCAGTCAATGGAATTGTGACAGTTGTCTCTTAATGATAGATAGGAAATGCATAACAGCTGATTTTAAAGAAAAAAATCGTTGATTGTATTGATTAATTGGTCATAATTCATTGAGAATGTTATGGTAGCAAACTTATTTATATTATAAAAGATCAACTGAGCCATAATTCCAGGGCATTCCTTAATGTTTTCAGGAAAAAAGGGATAATTAAGAGTTTTATATTCTTCATACGCTGATTTAAAAGAAAAATCATCGATTGATTGATCATAATTCATTGAAAATTGTGTGGTAGAAAACTTGTGATTGTTTATGTAAGAACCACTGAGCCATAATACCAGGGCATTCTTTAATGTTCCAGGAAAAAAAAAGGATAATTAAGAGTTTTCTATTCTTCATACGCTGATTTAAAAGAAAAATCATCGATTGATTGATCATAATTAATTGAAAATATTGTGATAGCAACCTTGTGATTGTTTATGAAAGATTCACTGAGTCATTATTCGAGTGCATTCATTAACGTTTCCAGGAAAAAGAAGAAAGAAAAAAGAGTGAGAATTTAGAGTTTTCTATTCTCGAAAACCCTTCTTTTCTTTTTAGCTCAGACGTTCTTCTTTAGACACACCTGCTCGTCAGATAATAAAAATAAATAATAAAAATGTGTGTCAGAACTGTCAGAGTTCCTCATAAGATGACGAATTGTGTCTAACAGGGTTGTTGTCACCGCTCGATTACTAGAACTGTTTTTATTTCTCAGCAACAGATTTTTTTTGGAATATAACCGCGAGCACAGTAAACATTCGTTCGTCTTAACTACCTTCTTTTAAACACTAAATTTTTGTGGTCAGTAGTATTGGTCATAGCAGTGGTTCCTAACCTTTTTTGGCCTATCGCCCCCCCCTTCTATCTTTCTATCTATCTATATATATATCTACATCTATATATATATATATATATATATATATTTCTCTTACACGGCGACAAAAAAGCCTCATTACAACTCCCCGAATGGCAACGCTAGNAAAAAAAAATAGAAATTCACCAAATCTTGAATGCCAGGAAAATGACATATTAGCTTAGAAGTTTAAAAAACAGTCATTTTAAGTTAATAGTAAGTAACTCAACTTAAGACTTTATGTTAGATGGACCATAAATTGCTTAAATTAATTATTTTTTTAACTGTAGAAAGAATCAGAAAAAAATTTTGTTGCTGATATGTACAAAATAAAATTGTGTATAATGATCAATCATTAAATAAATAAATAACTTTGATTACATCCAACCATATTACAATCATACATGAACTTGGTATTAGGTTAATATTTGCTTTTCCTCCTTACAGTATTATCAGTTAAAAAAAAATTCTCGTAACACTTCAATGTCCTGGCATTCATAAGCCAGGATAATGACATATTCGCCATTTTATAGCATATAACTTGACTTTAATTTAATACTTTGGCCTAAGACGCTTACATTCTGCAGAAAGCAACATGATTTTTTAAAATAACTCAGATAAATCTATGTAGTTTATATTATTAATGATTACAAGAAGCCAGGAAAATGACAACACAAAAACCTACTCATCTTGCAAAATTTTTTAAAATAGATTTTGAACCAGAAAATTGGTTCTTTATTCATGCAAAAAGACATGTTCGTATAAGAGGATATCTGATCAATCTATTAATATAAGATATTGATTGCTGGCTCTATCTATTTTGGTTATAAACCACTAACTAAAAGTAGCCAAGAAAATGACAGATTTTCTAGGGACGAACAAATTATTGACAGAAAAAGTTATTTTAAACCAAGTTTTTGTGAATAATAACCCTCTGCGTATATTCTAGAAATGCTTACACCGGTAGAGATAACAAAAATTGGATATTGAAAAATTTATGGGAAATTTTGAAGCTAGTTATTATTCGAAACATTGTTTGGGACATGCCAGGAAAATGACATTTTGAAGTTCAATTAAATTTTTTAACTATACAAAACAGTCAATGCTAGTGCAAAGTCATTTTAAAATGCTAACAGCAATGAAATTAATTAAAAAAAGNTTTGGGACATGCCAGGAAAATGACATTTTGAAGTTCAATTAAATTTTTTAACTATACAAAACAGTCAATGCTAGTGCAAAGTCATTTTAAAATGCTAACAGCAATGAAATTTATAAAGAAAAGAATTTAAAAAAAAGTTCTTTTAGTATTATAGTATTAGATCTTGGAGCAAGGGACAGTGAATTGTCATATTTTGTGAGAATCACCCATATATATATACATATACATTCGGCCTGGCCAAATTATCAGACGCACTATAAGTTTCTATGTAAAATCTCAATGATCAGGTGATACTATACAGCATTATTTTTACGTTGCTGAAACCGGTTTGCACTTCTTTATGTTCGTGTATCAATTGGTTAACATTATACTGCAATACTTTAAAAATAAATACAAATAGGAAGTATATAAAAAAAATCTCCTGAATAAAAACCCATTACATGTATGTTTAAATATAAAAGTATTGCCTATAAACTCGCGCAAAACGTGCAATTATTAAAACACTATAGTGCGTCTAATAATTTGGTCCAATTATTAATACCTGATATAATAAATATTCTATATTTATATAATATATCGTCTAGCTCATCCAATCATCGAATTTATAGTATATATCGTCTCAGTTAAGCAACTGATACACGAACGTAAACAAGTGCAAACCGGTTTCAGTCGTGTAAAAGCAATAATGCTATATATAGTTTGTCTAAAGTAAGAACTCCCCTAGCTATTCGT